ATTACAGAATAAGTAGGTTGAGATAAAGTAACAACCAAGTCATCTGCAAAAGCCCTTAATTTATATTCTTTTTTGTTAACTTCTATTCCTTTTATTTGCTGTGATTCTCGAATTTTAATTAACAAAATTTCCAAAGTTAGAACAAACAGCAATGGTGACAATGGACAACCCTGACTAGTCCCCTTCTCTATTGAAAACACCTCTGACAAACCCCCATTAACTATAAGTTGTGCCGTTTGCTTTTGATAAATAACACAAAGAGCTTGTAAAACATTTTCTCCAGAGTTCATTTTCTCAATTAATCTTAACATAAATTGCCAGTTCAGCTGGTCAAAAGCTTTTTCAGCATCTAAAAATATCAATCCTGCAGAAATTTGATTGTTTTTATCTAAATATTCTAATAAATTAATAATTTGTCTAACATTATTCTTCATATACCTTCCAGTTATAAAACCCGTTTGATCCATATGTATTACATGATGCAGGACCCTCATAAGTCTATTAGCTAAAATTTTTGAAAAAATCTTATAATCTACATTTAAAAGAGATATAGGTCTATAATTCTTTGGTAAAGTGAGATCTTGATCTTCTTTTGGAATCAAGGATATAAAAGCTCTACCCCATGACGGGGGGATCGCTGAACCCTGTAATATATTATTAAAAAGCTCCCTTAAAGGTTGAATCATCTCTTGTACCAAAGTTTTATAATAAATAGATGTCAATCCATCCATACCCGGTGCTTTACCTAATTTTAATTCTTTAATTACTGTCTCAATTTCCTCACTAGTAATCAGACCGTTAATTTCTTGTTTCTGATCTTCTGTTAGTTTAGGAAAATTAGCATCTTTTAAATAATTATCTATATCTAAAACCTGTACTTTAGTACTCATATATAATTTTTGATAATAATCTAAAAAAGATTTCTTAATCAACTCCTTCTGATATACCAACTTACCATTATAATTTATTTTATCTATAGTTCTCTGTCTCTGCTTCTTTCTCAATTGATAAGCCAACCATCTCCCTGGTTTATTGGCATTACAAAATGTATTTTGTTTCATATACAATAAATTAGTTGCAGTTTGATCAGCCATCAACATGGGAAATTGTGATTTAAGCAATTTTATAGATTCCTTAATCTTCTCATCTGTGGGATTTAAAATCAGAGCCTTTTCTTTTAATTTAATCTCATCTTCCAACTCTTTACGTTTCTACACCTGCTTCTGTCTGTGAACCTTATTCATTTGTATCAAAATCCCCCGCATATAAGCTTTGCCTGCATCCCAGACCATTGACATTGAAGTTCCCTTATACATATTTAAAGCAAAATAATCCTTTAATTGCTCCTTTAATTTTTGAACATTCTTTTCTTGTCTAAATAAATTTTCATTCATCCTCCAAGATCTCCTCTCCTCTTTTTCATCAACCAGTTCCATCCAAACTGGACTATGATCCGTCAATGTCCTAGGGAAAATCTTAACATTCTTTACCCTAAAATATAAATCGGTTGTAATCAAGAAAAAGTCAATTCTTGAAAAAGACTGATGTCTGTCCGAAAAGAAGGTAAAGTCTCTCTCCTCCAAGTTATGTTCACGCCAATAATCTTGCAGCTCCCAATCCTCTTTCAAGTCAAAAAAAGCTTTAGGTAATTTAGCCTGTTTAAAAGAAATAGAGGGTCCTTTTTTGTCTCTTTGTGTATCTAAAACACCATTCCAGTCTCCCATTAATATAACAGATCTATAATCCAACAAAGTTAGTTTTTGATGTAAAAATCTATAAAATTGTTCCTGTTGTTGATTTGGTGCATACAATCCCACTATAAGTACTTTCTTACCATACAAACCCACTTCAATCATAACATATCTCCCTTGAGAATCAGATTCTACTAAACAGGCTGATAGATTTTGCTTAACATAAATAACTACTCCCCCTTTTTTCCCAGGAGCAGAAGATACAAAATGAGATCCCAATCGAGCGTTAACTAGATATTTTTGATCCTTAGAAATAATATGTGTTTCCTGCAAACAAATAATATCATTGTTATGTTGCTTTAAGTAATGAAATATTTTCTTTCTCTTTTGAGGGGAGTTGAGGCCATTAGCATTCCATGTCAGGAGCTTTACCATCTCCCATGACCAAAAGCCTGGAGAAGATTGCTTGAAGATCTGCCATTGAAGAATGTACTGCAGAGCTCTTAGGTCTTGCTCCTCCCACAGGCACCGAAGCCATTTCTTGTAGAACCTCTTTAACATCTTTCTTCTGTTGTTCCTTTTCCTTACGTCTATGGGCTGCCCGGGTCATTCTTTGCTCTTTCATCTCTGCTTGTTGCAACCACTCAGCCTGTAATTTTCCACTATCCATCAATACTACTTCTTCAGACTGCTGTTCCGCCTCCTTGCCATCCGAAACTTTCTGCATCATAGATGGTGGTGAGCGTGCTCCCAGGACCGACTTGTAAAACTCCTTTGCTTTAGAAACAGTATTAAGTCTATAACGTATCCCCGCATGACTCACCACAATGCCAATCGGAATCTCCCATCTGAGTGGCATCAATCTTTTTTTAAGTTCATCGGCTAAGAAAGCAAACTCTTTTCTTCTTCTTAAAATTTTAGATGGAATCTCCTTTAAAATAATAACATCTTGAGCAGCAATCTGAAATCTCTTGTTATAAAAAGCTTGTATAATTTCATTATGCAGAGATCTCTTCCCAAAATAGATTACCACATCTCTTGGCAGATTTCTTTGCTTTGCAATCCAAGAATTGACTCTAAATATTTTTTCAATTTCTCTAAATATTTCCTCCTTCTCTCTGTCCAAAATGACAGCAAAGTCATTTGCTACAATCTTTCTCAAATCTTGTTGCATGTCTTCTCTCAGCCCCCTGATTCTTAAAGCGAACTCCATTTCTCTATATTGAGACATAACAATATCATCTTGTGAAGTTTCCATCCTTTTTTCCATACCTTCAAATCTATCTTCCAGAACCTCCACCTTATCTGCAACTTCTTCCACTCTAGAGTCCAACTTCTCAACCACAGAAGCAAGTCCTGTTAGAGCCATAACTATATCTTGCCTCAAAATAATATTATTCTCCACTAAAAGCTCTTTCACTTCCCCTCTGATTTGAGATATAGCATTTCCCATTATATATTGCATGTCTTTTACCGTTACTGCTGGCAAGGGGGGAGAGGGTGGTGGTGTAGCTTTAGGTTGTTGTGCTGGTAAAATCGCAGGAGAAGAAGCCACCTTAGGTACTGTAGATGTTGCCTGCCGCTTTGAAGCCATTTAAAAAAAAAAAAAAAGTTTTGTTTCTTCTTTCCTCCTTCTTTGAAAAAAGAAATAAAAAATACAAAAAAATCCCTTAATAGAAAAAAAAATAGCAAAAGAGAGTTTAACAAAAAAGAATCTTCCTAAAACACAAATCCACCTTAAGAAAAAATTTAAAAAAAAAGAACAATCTAGTCCATTACATTCCGTTCCACTCGCTTTTTTTTAAAAAAAAAAAACTTTCCAATCGCCACTTTACTTTCACTCTCACAAAAAAAAGAGAAAAAAGAAGGGAAATAAAAATCAACCTTTCAAACTAAAGTCCAAATAAAATCCAATAAAAAAAATCCTTTATCCAGCTCTGTCCGCTTATAAAAGTAACTCACCCGGTCTCTTTAAGTGCGGAGGTGGGAGCGGCGTCTTGCTTTGTCCCCAAGGGACAAAGACAGCTGGGAGGCGGAGGCAACCCGAACTCCGAGGTAGCACTCTTTTCACCCCCCAAGGAAAACTTCCTGGGGGGTCTCAGAGGCTCTACCTCTATTCAGGTGATACTCCCCTCCCCCCCTTTGCCCGGGAGGGAGGTTTTGAGCTGCGGAACAGCTGGTGTCTGCTGTTCTCTGCGGTTCTAACGCTTTCCCAGGAGGACGGCTACAAAGTAGCCGCCATCACCGACGCTAATCCACCGGAAGTTTTAAAGTTTTTTTTATGACCAGCAGATACACCTTCGCTTATTCTTGTTATTTGAATGAGGTGCTTTCCAAAATGAAGGGAATTAGTCCAACTGCCATTCAAAAAGGTTTGGCTGACACAAAACAATGTTCGTGGTTTGCTTTGTTTTTTGGAAGCCAGAATGAGCAGAGAAGATTGTGGAGACATTGCTTCAGAAAGCTGCTTCAAAGGAGTGCTTCTGTTAAAAGTTGGTTGTAACTTCACCCTAAAAGCTTTCTACAACTCCAATAAGCTGGTATGAGATGTTTGGCTCGTTAGCAACATAATGATAGAATGAGACTGGACAAAGCATCTGAGGGACATTCATAAAAAAACAGAACAATCCAAAATAAAAAATAAAGTCTTTTTTTACCCCAGTTAACTTCTGTTAACTCTTGGTATCATAATATACCAATCTTTGCATTAGCATTTATGTAAAGCAGCATTCATTAAATCATTATTTTATACAGTATTTTAAATGAAAACACAGTTGGTGTTCCTAAAACTCCCCAGCTTCTCTCTTTATTCTTCTTGGAGAAACCATTCCAAAATATTTCATTATAAGAGCATTCAAACATGTTTTAGTGTATATAATCAATAGCAGCCTTTTATTTGTTTGGAGTGGTATTAAATGGATTTATACAATAGGACTTTACGTTTTTGATAACATTCTCATAAATTTTGCCGTGAGACAACATAGAACATGATTTGAGATATGGTGGCCTGCAGGAATAAGAAATGTACATTCACTGGCATTCCATTGTGAGGGAACATTGTTAAAAGATTATTATATGTAGCTAAATATAGTACACTCAGTAAAAGTTCAATTTTAATAATTTGCTGAAACACACATAAGTGAGGTAATAGTTACAGGTAGCCCTCGACTTACAACGGTTTAGTGACCATTCAAAGTTACAACATTGAAAAAAGTAACTTATGAACATTTTTCATACTTACAACCACTCCAGCATCCCCGTGTATATGTTCGTTCTCTCTCTCTCTCTCTCTCTCTCTCTCTCTCTCTCTCGTGCATGTGTATGTGTGCACATATATTTGTGATATGAGCTCCCACAAAAGCAAACTTCAGGAGTCAGTTCCTTTTTCAGAATCAAATGCTGGTTTATACTTTTCTTCCACAAAGTCAGGCAGCTGCTCTAAGCAATTTCCTTCGTTTGGTTGCTGGGAAGATAAACATTTCCAGGAAATGTCCCAGTATTCAGATGCACACCTGTGTCGTATAAAAAAAATTAGGCTAACATCTCTTGACCTAAATTAAGCAAAATTTATTTAGAGAGAAAGTCTGAGTTTAAAGTAGTGTACATCTAGTTTAGCAAATGTTATAGGAAATGGATGATAGGCCCGATATAATAAATTGAGTTTTGCTTTAGTGCAGCAATTCTGGCTGAGCATCATATTCTTTCACAAATTATAATTGTGAGAACTGATAGAAGCACAAAGTAATTGTGTTATGATGCAGGGCTGGAAGAAAATAGACTTTTTTGACTGAAGCAATCTCATTGAGGCTTAGTCTTGAGACTGAATTGTTTAACTTAAAAAACTGTACTATATATTTTGTTTCCACAGATATATTTTGTAATTTATCCAGAAGGAGCATTTTACAACCCAGAACTGCCCAAAGTAATTACAGATAGCCAGTCATACTGAAAAGAAAGGTAATGAAAACTACCAAGAGCTGACAAGCTCTGTGTCTTTAACAGTTGAGCCTTCGTGCCCCCTCTAATTCAGTTTAATGAAGGTCAAAGAGATAACAGCCAAAGCATGCAAACCAAAAGAGTCTCTGACAGACACATGCCTTATTAGGAGTGCACAGAATAGTCCAAAATCAGTCCAAGATTCCAAGAGCCAGTTCAGAACAGCACAGACAGAATTCATATGAATTGTTATACAACAGCCAGAGATTAAATAGTTGTTTCCAACAAAGGATTATAAGTCAAGGTTGCCTCTTAAATCAGGCTGCAGCCAGCTGTTGCTAATCAAGAGATTTACTCGCTTGGCAAGATGCTCCATAGAAGGGCTCTGCTCTTCTCTCTACTCATTAGGCTACTCCAGCTGTGCAGATGTTGCCTGTTTTTGATCAACCTCATGTGATTCTTGATTTGGTGCTCCTGAGGCTGAAATTCTACAGATCCAGTTGGGGGCACTTTGTTTACATTCAAAATTCACTGAATTGATCCGTGATACTGGGTAGACATGTGATCATTCTCCTGAAAGATAAGAAAGAAAAATAAAAACTAGCTTGGGTCTAGAGAAAATCAGAATCAATGGCTGCTTTTATAGAAGTCAGCTGCAGGATCTAGAGATGTTACCATTTTCCTGGGCAACTTGTTAAATCTTTTTTACTCTGCCTTTCCTCTTGGTTAGGTCTCACAATACTGAAACATGTCCTTACTCCACGGGTGAAGGCCACTCATGTTGCTGTTGATTCCATGAAGAGCTACTTTGATGCAGTTTATGAGGTTACAATAGCCTAAGAAGGAACTGTAGATCATAAAGGACAAAGGAAAGTGGCACCATCCATGGCTGGTGAGCAGGTACTTTTAAAAAACTTTCTCTTGCCTGATTCAAGCTGGGAGAATCCACATCCTTCATGGAATGTCTACAACATTCAAGATGAACTTTTTCTGTGTCCCAAATGATATACGGTTGGGCTTAGCTTTTTGTTTGACTTCTAAGTTTCCAATTAATTGCTTATTTCCATTTTAGGTTGTCTTTTGGCCAGCAAAGGCATTTTTTAGATAAGCTAGCATTTAACATGATTTGTTGATTTTAAAGTGAGGAGGGGGGGCTCTTGGTTCTTTCTTTCTTATATATGTTTTTATATTTTAATTATATAGTTACATTTTGTTAGCCCTCCACAAGAACCCCAATTTCTCATGTGGCCCCATCAGAAAATGAATTGCCGACCTCTGAATAAAATGTTAACAATATCTTTAAACACATATCTGAGAAATCATAGATCTTGTTATTCAATTTTCAGAATTTATTTTGAAAGAAACATATGCAGCTTTTTGGAGCAAAATATTTAAAATCTTTTTTAAATTTAAAAACATTTAAAATCAGAGTCTAAAAAATCCAGACTTGAAACTTGGATCAGTTTTTAAATATTGTTAAATAAATAAGTTTGCCTTTAATTTTACAAATAACTGAAATTAATCATGTTATAACTAAAGTATTTATAATGTTCTTCTGGATTTTAGACCTTCTTTATAAGGAGTGCCCAAGAATTTATATCTACATTGAACTAATTGAGCTCAAAGACATTCCAGAAGAACAAATGTTTATGAGAAGATGGCTTCACGAATTTTTTTTTAGAAATAAAAACCAACAACCTTTATTACCTGCATTAAGAAAATTAGTGGCTGTGAATGGGAAATACCACTCAAACTGATTTTGTGACATTTGTGACTGTAACTGTGAATCAATACGAAACTGAATTTCTTTTATTCTCAGGCCAATGTACTTGGTCCAATTTGAATCAGGATAGCCACATCTATAAAAGAATATTTTGTAATATACTATACTATAATATACTTTTACTAATTAAAAGTAGACTGGTTATCTTTGCCTGATAATAAAGGATATTCAATTCCAGATTAGTTCAACAGAGTAAAGTAACTTGATTGATTTTGGCTTTGAATGTTGTATATATTCACCCAGTGGGAACTTATCCCATAAACCTGGATTTATTACATAAATGTGCTGAGAATTTATAGCTTAGCTAAAGCTCCAATCATTTTCATTTGAGTCCATTTAGCAGCTTTAATTAATTTATATTTGCTTACTTAAAGAAAATACAGCTATGCAAAGCATTCAGAATTAGTCCTTCAGAAAGCACATCAATATGAACAAAACTGAAGATTAAAGCAGCCACATCCTTTGTGAGATTCATGCAGCTGCTTCAAAAGACAAGAACACTTCCATTAGAATTGCTAACAAAATTGTCTGTGCCTGCATAGAGAGAGCCGACAATATTTCTTCCCAGTGTTGTGACTGCTTGAGCATTTCAGATAGAGATACTTCCTAGGTGTTAAATTGCTTTGTATAACATCTCTTTTAATGCTTTGTACAGCCCTAAAAATAAGTCTGGCCAAATTACATACTGTAGTAAAATTTGTGCTATTTGTAGAAGATTAAAAAGTTCAGTCCCTAATGTAGGAAAGAAAGAATTTCAGGCCAAAACTTGTGATTCTTGGAGGAAAGTATTTGTGATAAATTGTCAGAGATAATCAGAGAAGCTTCTAACCAAAAGTATGTGATAAATAAATCTCATTTTATCTTGCTCCTAGATTGCTAAACAGGATTTTATGATGCAAAAGATTCTAAAAGAAGAAATAAGTTTCTTGGGAAAAGTCTTTGCTCCAAACTAAGTCTCCAGAAAACATTGCCATCCTAATTGTTTTTAAGAGGCTTGATTGCCACCATGCTAATAGAATCTGGAAGGAAACTGCATGAAAACACGGATATATGGCAGCTTATTAGGCTGTCTCTGGGTCAGTATTAAAACATAAAAACTCTGCACTTTCATTCAGTGGATTTTCTTTCTTGCTTTGCACATCGCATCAAATTCTTTCCTAAATGTATATTAAAATTTTAAATAAAGTTAGGCTAGAGGGGGATTTAGCAAGAAAGGATTATATTACGGCCAAGATATGGTTTGGTATGATTAGCTCTCAATAGGTATATGCTGCAGGCCACTCAAGCATAGGAAATATAGGTAGTCCTCGACTTATGACCACAACTGAGCCCAAAATTTATATTGATAAGTGAGAAATTTGTTAAGTGAGTTCTGCCCCATTTTATGACTTTTCTTTTTTTTATTAATTTTTTTTATTTTCCATTTATCCAACATACTTATACAACAAAATTCACTTTACAAAATAAAATAAATTCATAATCATAACCATAACCATAGGTGCCGCTTGCTCGTTCCCCCCAAGCTGCATCTACCCTCCCTAATACCTTCCCTCCTCTTTCTCTCCTCCCCTCACTACTCTCTTCCCTTCCCCTTCTCCTCTTACCATCCTACTTCCTCCCTTCACCTTCCTCCCCTCTCATCCCTCTCAAATACAGGAATACAGCGTAGGGGAAACGCCCAAGCAGCACCTGTCTCATAAATTACCATATCTATATTATCCTATTCTACCTATTTATCCACCCACTCACCCACCCCCCCACCCTCAACCCCCCCCCCTCACTTCCCAGAGCAGAGTACAGGGTTATTAATAACAAAATTAACAATATACAATAAAAAAGAAAAAAATCATACTTAGCCCTTAACTCCCCTTAAATTACATGATCATAAACAAATCTCTTATAAAATTTACTCATAAAATAAATGAAACTTTATAGTCCCATACGTCTTCTGAATATAATATATCCATCTTCTCCATACAATAATATATCTTTCTTGTGTATGATCCTTTAAATAAGCAGAATTTTTTGCCATTTCTGCTAAATTAGAAATTTTAAATATCCATTCTTCTAAAGTAGGCAACGAATCTTTCTTCCAATATGAACCTACTAGTAACCTTGCTGCAGTTAATAAATTCAGCATTAAAGTGGTTTCTTTATCATCTAAATCCACAAAAATACCCAATAAAAATAATTGAGGAGTAAACTTTATCTTCCTTTTAAAAATCTTTTGAATGTTACACCAAATCATAATCCAAAAAGCCTTTACCTTTTTACAATTCCACCAAACGTGAAAATAAGTTACATCTGTATTACCACATCTCCAACATTTGGGTTGTAAATTAGAATACATACAAGATAATTTTTTAGGATCTAAATGCCACCTATAAAACATTTTATAAAAATTTTCCCTCAAATTTTGAGCTTGTGTAAATTTAACATTTCTAATCCAAATTATCCCCCATAAATCCAATGGGATTGGTTCCTGGATATTCTGAGCCCATTTAATCATACAATCTTTAACCAATTCTGTTTCCGAATCTAATTCTATTAAAACATTATAAATTCTTTTTATATGAGCCTGATTCTGATCTTTAATCTGAATTACCAGGTTTTCATCTTCTAATGTTATTCCCTCTTTCTTATCTACAGTCCACCTGTCCACTATTTGTAAATATTGAAACCATGACTGTAGAATATTTTCTTGCCTTAATACATCTAAGGATTTTAAATGCCAATCTGAACCTGACCAAATTAATAATTCTTTATACGAAATTTTATCAAAATTCATCTCCTTAGAAGTTCCCTCAATTGCGTGTCCAGGAATCCCCCAAATAGGTGTTTTATAATTTAACCTATAATAATACTTTTTCCAAACTCGAAGTAAAGCATTCCTCAAAATATGTGATTTAAAAGCCCGATCAACTTTCTTGTTAAAAATTAAATATGCATTCCAACCATACATTAAATCCCACCCTTCAAGAGAGAGAATATCCTTATTCGTTAAATTAAGCCAATCACTTATCCAAGTTAAGGTGGCTGCATCATAATATAATTTCAAATTAGGTGCTTTAAGTCCTCCTCTTTCTCGGGCATCTTGCAAAATCTTAAACTTAACCCTTGGTTTCTTCCCAGCCCAAATGAATTTATTGATACCCTTCTGCCATTCCTCCAAATTTACATCTTTTTTTAAAAATAGGTATCATCTGAAACAAGAAAAGAAACTTTGGTAGAACATTCATTTTTACAGCTGAAATTCTCCCCAACAATGACAATTGCAATTTTTTCCAGTCATTTAAATCCTTTTGTACTTTTGCCCATAATAATTCATAATTATTCTTATACAATTTTCCATTTGAAGCCGTTAGATATACTCCCAAATATTTAACCTTTTTCACCATCTGAAAACCTGTAGATTTAACTAAAATTTCCTTATCCTTAATTGACATATTCTTAGATAGTATTTTAGTCTTGTGATTATTAACTTTAAAACCAGAAACTTTCCCATACTGTATTATAAGTTCTAATAGACAATCAACCGCTTGAGTCGGTTGTTCCAAAATTAAAACCAAATCATCCGCAAAAGCCTGCAATTTATACATTCTTTTTTATCTTTATATCCTTGAGTACTGTTGATTCTCAAATCTGAATCAACAAAATCTCCATTGTTAAAACAAATAACGATGAAGATAATGGACATCCTTGTCTTGTTCCCTTTTCAATATTAAAAGTCTCAGTCAGTCCCCCATTAACAACAATTTGAGCAGATTGTTGCTGGTATATAGCTTTAAGCGCATATAAAAACTTATCCCCAAAATTCATTTTCTCTACCAATGAGAATAAAAATTGCCAATCTAGTTGATCAAAAGCTTTCTCAGCATCCAAAAATATAAAAGCCACAGGAATCTGATTATTCTTATCCAAATACTCAATTAAATTAATAATTTGTCTTACATTGTATTTCATATATCGCCCTGTTATAAATCCTGATTGATCACTATGAATCAAATCCTTCATAACCTGCATTAGTCTGTTTGCCAAAATTTTAGAGAAAATCTTATAATCTATATTTAACAAAGATATTGGCCTGTAATTCTTAGGCTCTGTAAGGTCTTGATCCTCCTTCGGGATCAATGATATAAACACTCTTTTCCAGGAAGGGAGGACTTGAGCTCCCAACAAAATACTATTAAACAGCTCCTTTAATGGCTCCATCATTTCTTCAGATAACATTTTATAATACATTGACGTCAATCCATCTGTTCCTGGAGACACGACTTTTCCTGACATATTTCTTAAGTGCAGTTAAGTTAGTAACATGGTTGTTAAATGAATCTGGCTTTCCCCATTGATTTTGCTTGACAGACGGTTGCAAAAGCTGATCACATGACCCCGGGACACTGCGACCGTCATAAATATGACCCAGTTGTCAAACATCCGAATGTAAATCACATGACTATGGGGGTGCTGCAAAGGTCATAAGTGTGAAAAATGGTCTTGAGTCACTTTTCTCAGCGTGACGATGGAGAATCCACTCCCTCCCTTGAGGCCAGTCAGGTCCTGTGAGGGGAGAGGATGGAGTCAACACAAGAAAACAGCCAACTAGCTTTCGCCTTGTCGAGACTGGTCAGGGAGGTCCCAGGAGGAGAGGCGGAGCAAAATTGGACAACTAATCTGTTAGATCTGTTTCTTTTGAATAGTTTATATCCTTCCAACAGTACATTTCAGTCATGAGTTTAATCCCACCAAGTTTAGGTAACTATATCATACATGTCCTCAGGTGCTAGGTCTTACTTCACCCAGTTTGTTCCTCATACTTTGAGCATTAGTGTGTAGACATTTGAATCCTGTCCTTGTATTTGTTTCCTACATCTCCTGTTTTGAGTTCCTTTTCCTTCCCACCACTCTGTACCTGATTGGTTGTCTTGGGGTTTATGCTTGGGATTAGGTCCTAAAGATTGCCCACCCTCCCTTCCGATTTTAGTTTAAAGAATAAGCAAACACATTCTTCCAGATATTGTTCTTTCAGTATAAATTTTCTTGGGTGCTGTCCACTTCATGGATGGTTATCCCAGGCAAGGAATGTTACATATACATTCATGGTGCAGAAGAAGAATAAAAGGAGATGAGAAAGAACGAATTGTAGTACGTCAGAGTACTTTTCATTACTATCAGAGGATGATCATTCAGAGAATGTTGGAATAATGTTGCAAAGAAATAGAGCTCTTTTTTATCCTTGGGAATATCGGAATAACAGAGTTGGAAGGGACCTTGTAGATCTTCTAGTCCAGCCCCCTACTCAAGCAGCAGAACTATGCCATCCCAGACAAATGGTTGTCCAATCCCTTCTTAAAAACCTCGAGTGTTGGAGCACCCACAACTTCTGGAGGCAAGTCAAATATTTTGTCAGGAAATTAAATTGGTACCTTAGGAACAGTGACTTCAGCCATTCAATATGTTCTGCATTGTTTTTCAACCACAGTAACTGGATTTACAGAAAAGCACTAAGATGAGAAGAAGTAAATCTTGTGGCTTAGTGCGATATGCAAACCCTGCCTTTTTGTCTCAGGGAACTGAAATGGTGTTTGGAGCACTATAATTTTTTAAGTTAGTTAGATGAGGGGTCCCCAACCTATGGGCCGCAGCCCGCTATCGGGCTGCGGGCTTTTGGCCAGTGGGCCACAGAAATGGCTAGCCAGGGTGTGCACACGTGGGTGCGCATTCTCCCCCCCACTGGCGCTAGCAACCATGGCCCTGTTTGCGCATGCACATGGGCGTAAACAGGAACACTAATGTGCAGGGCGATGCATGCCCCATTTGTGCATGCACAAACAGGCTGTTAGCGTGGTGTGTGTGCGTGGCCCATTTGTGCATGCACAATGGGCGCTAGTTGCTATGGGGGTACGCAGCTGTGTGGGTGTGGCCTTATTTGCATGCATGTATGTACGCATGCAGGAATTTGGAAGCCGCTCTCCCCTCTGGGCCGGGAGCTGGGAAAGGTTGAAGAACTCTGCTATTTGCAAAAATTTGTATAATAGGGAAATATTCATATAAAAATAAATGCCTTTCTTTAAAAAATTGGACATGAGTGGCTTTCAGCCTTTAATCAACTGTAAATATTTAATCAATCATTGTTACATACCAAATTTGTTTTTCTTTTCTGTGTTTTAGGACTTGGCACAATATGTAAATGAAGTGAAGCAAGATAATGAAACTCTCTGTGAAATTAAGCAATTTCAATCATCAATAGAAAATTTTGTAGGATTTTATAAGATGCTGCTTTTTTATTTTTTAAGATTTTCCCCTCTTTGTATACCTGTCATTTATAGACCTTTAAGCAGGAAAGCTGAAAGTGAAAATTCTGGCAGGGTTAAGACTAAAGTCAGGGTGGAGCACAGGCAAGCTTGTCCAAAGGTAGAGTCAATTGCAGGTAAGAAACTAAACCAATATATTCTGAAAAAGGTTTGAACACAGATTCCAGAAAACTGGGATATTGAGAATCAGAAGACAGCTAATCAAGAGAGTTAGAATAGAAACAGGAACTTTAAGCCAGGGGTCCTCAAACCCCAGTCCGTGGACCGGTACTGGGCCATGGTATGCCAGCAACCGATTTGCACAAACAAGCAAAGCCCCATCTGCGGGATGCAGGCAGCTCACAAAACCACGCACCCTCTGGTCCACGGAAAAACCTCTCCACGGAATTGATTCCTGGTGCCCAAAAGGCTGGGGACCTCTGAGTTAGATCATTGTTAATTATCTGGTATTATCTGATCATGCTGGAAATATCAGTGAGAAATAGCTGAAGAACATAGGAACTTGTTCGTCCAAGCCAAGCATTTTCTTGAGATGCACTAATGAGGGAAAATGCAAGAACTATTCAACTTTTTCCTTATTCTACTCACCAGCTCCTCCCTTCTTTTTTTACTAAGGTATTTAGGTATTCATAAAACATAAAAAGCTACAGAAGCAACTCTTAATTGCTCTAATTTTAGGCTGATTTAGAAAAGCAACTGAAAGGAATAAGAACAGCAATTACATGTAATGTCTCTCAGTCAACTATAACTAATATAGCACACTGAAACATTTTCTCTTTCTTACACATCTGTGCGTGCGCAAATGCATATATGTAGTCTACTTTCTGTTGACAGTCCCCAAATTGGATAAAATAAAGTAAGATGATAAAGCCCAAAATTATAAACACTGAACTCATACAAAATTATGAAACCATAGAAGAAGACCATGACGGGCTGGAAGGAGAAGCTGGACCACATCTGGAAAGCATTGTGCAGAGGAAGACTGGGTTATGTTGCACTAAAGTTGATGGAAAATAGTACTTAGAGATTTTTTTAAAAAAATTAAAAAAAAAAACCTGGCACTGCTATTGAACATTTTGGAAGCCAATTTTATGACTTGGGTTGAATTGCAGTGTAATCAAGTAATCGGTTTAATTCCCACTTGGAAGAAAAGAATAACTCCACACAGACATTGATTTAAACACCGTTTTATGACCTGCAAATGTGCAGTTCTGAGTAAAAGCCAAAAAATTCTTGTTAACTAGATATAAATTAACTTTCCGGTACAGATAGTCTTCAACTTCAGTTCATTTAGTGACCATTTGAAATTACAGTGGCACCGAAAAAAATGAGTTATGGCCGTTTTTCACACTTACGACCATTGCCATATCCCTATAGTCACATGATCAAAATTCAGATGCTTGGCAACCGAATTGTATTTATGATGGTTGCAGTGTCCCAGGGTCACCTTTTGGGACCTTCTGACAAGCAAAGTCAGTGAAGAAGCCAGATTCACTTAACAACCATGACACTAACTTAACAACTGCAGTGATTCCAGTGCTTTTTTTTCTTTAAAAAAAAAAAAAAAAGTGCTGGAACTCACACACGTCATACAACCCGCCTTGCCTACCCTACAGGGTTCCAAAAAAGGTGCCGGAACTCTGTTCTGGGCGTTCTATGAGAAAAAAAGCCCTGAGTGACTCATTTAACAACTGGCAAGAAAGGTCATAAAATGGGGCAAAACTCAACAAATGTCTTGCTTATCAACAGAAAGTTGGGTCTTAATTGTGGTTGTAAGTTGAGGCCTACCTGTAGTCCATGAAGCCTTCTAATATTTTCAATGAATGTTGTGATGTATGTATAAATAAATAAAATCTGCATTTGTTTACATTTCAAATATTTACAAACATTTTCATTTAAGGGGCCACCCCCCCTTTTTTAGCTATCGATTATAACTAATATCAGTACATTGTGGCACGTTCCCTGATTGATTACAGCATTCTTCACTAAATTTCTTTGGCTAGAACATCAAAAACGTTACAAATAAATATGTTTGAGTGGGTTGTCTTGTTTTTGATTTTGGTAGCAAAATATGCACTCTGAATTGTTCTAAAAGCATAAAGCAATATCAAATTTCTCTGAGGATGACCTCAAAATCTAGAAAGTTTTATGTGTATAGTCAAATATCCAGCTTACAGAGGTTGCACTAAGTGTTAACATTTTTGGCTGATCTTCATTGATGTCTTTAGTCTTCAAAGAAGACAGGGCAGTTAAATACTGACTTGCCCAATTAAATTAAGAGAGTCAATAAGTTACAACATCTGGGAATAATCTGATGCCTGTCTGAGTAAGCCCTCAGGCTTAGAGAGAAAGTTCCTCATTTCTGGGATGGTTACATTCAAACTCCCCTTCTCTGGGACTGTTTCAGGGAGATGGAATGTGGGAAATATGTAATATATTCATTTGTTTCATTGGCAAAAGATATCCTTCATCATAGTTTCAATATGTTCACAACATCAAGTTAAATTTCTCAACCTTGGCAATGTTCTTTATAATCAAAAGTTTTTTCATATTCCGAACAATGTTCAATGTTTGCCTTTGAAAATCAAACAATTTAATAATTTATACACATCTAGACCAGTATGTCTCAGCCTCACCAACTTTACGATGTGTGGACATCCAACTCCCAGAATTTCCCAGCCAGTGTGATACTGAAGAATTCTGGGAGTTGAATCCACACATCTGAAAAGTTGCCAAGGTTGACGAACACTGATCTACATATAATTGATTTTGATGCAGAAGCATTACAAACTCTAGCCGAGATGCATTCTTCATTTAAAAGTGCTCAAGCAGTGGATTTTTGCTGGCGCCAGGTCTATTCTGAATGTGAGTTTCTTTGGTGACATTAGTTATCAAGTGATATCTGATTCCCAAATTGTTGAATTTAAGTGCTCCTAGTGAGGGCCATGGTCTAGCTGCTTCATTTGTGCTCAGCACTGTACAGTTACAACTACGTTTGAATAGATCTATTGGTATCAAATGTATATTAAAAACATGAACTGGAGTTCATTCCTGTCATGAATCAGGTCCCTGAGTGCTGAATCTAGCAAACTGTGTTTATGAAAAGGCTGTGCTATGTTCACAGTTGACTTATACTGAAGAGAGGAACTTCAGCAAGATGGTCCTTCTATAAATAGATGACTTGTTCAAGAATAAATGCACTTACTGTGCCCTTTAATAGAACAACAAGCCCTGCTTAATCTTCATTGCCTTATCTTGTCTCCAACATTTCACTTCATATTTCATGTTTACTTATTTGGCTGCATAATTTGCTTTTTCCTGACAGCTCAGCCCAAATAATATTTATAAAGGAAGAAGAAGCAAAGGGGGAAAGGAATGCCTTGATTTGTACATTTTTTTTACGAAGGATGATTGTGAAATAATCCCAGAAATGAAGAAGCTTCTTAGCATTTAGCATAGCACTTAGACATATAGCGCTTCATTGTGCTTTACAGCCTCTCTAAGCAGTTTACAGAGTCAGCATATTGCCCCCAACAATCTGAGTCCTCATTTTACTGACCTCAGAAGGATGGAAGGCTGAGTTAACCGTGAGTTAGTTGGTGAGAATTGAACTCCTGGCAGTCGGCAGAATTAGCCTGAAATACCACTGTACCACCACGGCTCTTAATGGACTTCTTGGATGAGAAATGAAATGATTTCAAAGAATAAAAACCAAGAGAGTCCAGTTGCTTTTGGAAAAGCACTTTGGGACAACCATGACCTGGGTGATTGAGAATTTCCATAGACAATCCCAGAAATAACTTTAGCTGGGCATCCAACTGATTTGGCTAATTTCAAGATAATACTTATTCTCTGAATGAGTTCAAGAGCCCTGAAATATCTACTTTCCTCATTGGTAATCTGTAGCAAATCTCAACCCTCTGGCAACCTAGCTTTACTTCCAACCTTGACCCCCATCTCATCTCTAGCCCATGGTTTAAATTATATTAGTTCCCCTTTGCATCCCAGAAAATCTCGTTTTTCTCTTGAGCTTCTGAAGCATCATAGAAGTAAAGGTTTTATAGAATTTCACTTCTCTTTGTGGAGATGTCATTATTTTATCAAAACAGTGTTCCATCACAATGTATAAAGTTTGGGCTGTTGCATCAGGGCTGCAAAAGGATAAGCTAAGAGATGCTTAGATGACAGCAAGACTCATTACCTACACATATTAGCCATGCACCCCATTTGGTTAGCCAGCTAGGATAGCAATGAGGCCAGGACAATCAAGGGACTAAATGGACAATATTTGGCAACATCAAAATAGACAGTCTGGTGTGGATTGCAACTGTTTGGGATAATATTTCCATGACATTACAATTTTGACAAAATTCCCACCCCTTCTCTCTTCAGTTGGTGTCATAAGGGGATTTTGTTAGAACGTTACTGGTATTATTTGTGCATAAGGATGAATGGTGTATGGAAATTGCATGTGTGAACGTGAATTGGATATGGAATTCTAGCCCCAAAGCTAATTATTTTAGTTTATTACTTTATTTTCAAGTTTGATTTTAATCTGGATTTTAATTGTGAATGGAACCATTTGCTGTTTTCTGAATGTTATATGTTATATGTAGTAACATATTGCAAACATTTACAATAAATTTAATTTTCCACATATAACAGTAACTCAAAGACCACTGTCTAATATGAGAATTATTATCTAATGGCATTTTTAAAAAATCACAATAAGAGAAACTGTAGCATATATATTAGGTGTTTTCTACACAAAAGACAAATATATTTCATTATAAATTTACTATTTTATGATTTATATCAACATAAATTAACTAAAGCTATATCTTATCCTCTCAAAATTGCAGAAATAATTGAATAGCATAAAATAAAGTTATATTTTTTACCAACTGATACAAATACCAGAACAAGTTTTCCATAGTCCAAATAGAAACTGAGTCTCTAAAAGTGATCCTGAAAAAGAAGTCAAACACTATTATTTGTCAAATTATTTTTGCCGCATATCTTGTCATCGGACTAGGCAATCCCGCTTTGCTTCTTACATGAATTTGTATCATGTTTTATTGTAGAGGTCTCATTCAGTTTGTTTTCGTGGAGTTTCACATTTTAGTGCTAAGAATGCTGTTTTTTCTCAGAAGAGGATTCAGTGGAAGTTAGGTGAAAATAAGACATAACTTGGGAAGTCTGGTCAATTTATCCCATGACTTGGAGATTTTCTTACCTGAATGTGACCAAGCAACAAAAGGCAAGAGGAGTTCTAGATCTCTGTTTGATTTGCACTACTAGATTGAGCAAATATTGATTACTGTAGAGGGCTCAACCCTTTTTGCATAAAAGCTGTGCCATAAAAACATACCTGATAAATTGCAGCCTGACATTCGGTTGTTAAAGGAGCGGGAAACAGAAAATAATAATAATAAAGTCTGTTCCTATTCTTACAAACGTTGAGGTTAAATTATGTGGGATATAGAGATGTTTTCAAATAAGTTTTCAACCCATCTTGAATATAAATAATGAACCAAATGAAAGAAAATATTAAAATAAGTAAAGGTTTAGGTAAGCAGTAGTAGAATTCAAATATGTGAACAACCGGTTCTCTGTGTGGATGCCACTTCCAGAAGTCCATTCTGGGTCTGGGCAACAAAACATTAACTACCAGTTCTGTCGAAGTGGTGCGAACTGGCTGAATCCCACCATTGGATATAAGTAAGTATACTATATTTATTTTTTGCAAAGTCACAGCCTCCATCATCTGTACCATATAGAGACTAATGTGTGCTTTGTGACACAAATAGTGGTTATCTTATTGAGGCCATAGGCTTGTATTCTTAAAATTTTTCCTATTCGGTGCAGTCAAGCTGGATGACAGCAGAGTATCAGAGGAAGAGCTATGATTTTTCTCAAACCTGTGATTTTTTTTCTTTAATAAAAAAGTTGATTTTTCTTATGTTGATTCTCCCATTTCCTGCAATCCACACATATTATCATTTCAGTTATCATACATTTCACAGAGGGAAAATTCTTCATGATCGCTTTGTATACTATGCTAGATTCAAGATTATATATCCAGATTTGAACAATGCAGTGGTTTGATCAGTTTCTCAAATGGAGAGAATTGAAAGAGTCTCTCCCTCATAAAGGGATGGAATGAGGGGTAAATTTTTCTAATCCTCCTTTCTCTCATAACTTTAACTTGGTTTTCCAAACATACAGCATACATCTGAGGACATTCTGTGATTCTTATCTCACACTCTGAATGAGTTTACTCATTCTCATTTATTCATCCCCGTTAAAATTTAAACTGATTTTTTATTCTATTTGGAGTTCTATTTAACATATCTTTCTATCTTCCATATTTT